TTTTATCTAGAAAATGTATTCTTGCATTTAAGAATGTCTATTGGAAAGTTTAAAAATAATTTAAATAGAACTTGTACTTTATGTGATAATAGTTGTACTTAATGTACCAGTTTAAGTATATGTTAAAGTTGCAATTAAGGATTTTATCTTAATAACTCTATTTGTGTTTAAGAATGCCCTGTTGGGAAGTTTAAAAATAATTCTGATAGAACTTGTACTTCATGTGATAGTAGTTGTTTTTCGTGTACAAGTTTATCTTTATGCTAAAGCTGCAATTAAGGATTTTATCTAGAAAATGTTTCTTGTATTTAAGAATGTCCTATTGGGAAGTTTAAAAATAATCCAGATAGAACTTGTATTTAATGTGATACTAGTTGTTCTTCGTGTACAAGTACAACTTTATGCTAAAGCTGCAATTAAGGATTTTATCTCGATAACTCTATTTGTATTTAAGAATGTCCTATTGGGAAGTTTAAAAATGATTTAAATAGAACTTGTACTTCATGTGATAGTAGTTGTTCTTCATGTACAGGTTTATCTATATGCTAAAGCTGCAATAAATTGTTTTATCTAGATAACTCTTTTTGCGTTAAGCAATGCCCGATTGGTAAATTTAAAAATGATTCTGATAAAACTTGTACTTTATGTGATGTTAGTTGTTCTTCGTGTACAAGCACAACTTTATGCTAAAGTTGCAATTTAAACTTTTTTCTAGATAATTCTTTATGTGTTTCGGAATGTCCGATTGGGAAGTTTAAAAATGATTCTAATAGAACTTGTACTTCATGTGATAGCAAGTGTGAAAATTGTACTAGTTTAACTTTATGCTAAAGCTGTAATTTAGGATTTTTTTTTGATAATTAGAGTTGCTTAATAGATTGTCAATAAGGCAAATATAAAAATGCAAGTAATAGATAATGTTCATTTTGTGACAACAAATGTAAATCATGTGATAATGGTTTGACTTGTAATGGCTGTTTTGGAAATAGAGTTGGAGATTAATGCGATTGTCCTTTGTATTCAATCTTTTCAAATGATTATTAAAAATAATGTTTTGAATGTAAAAATGTGCTTATTGGATGTGGGTAATGCACTATAAATGAATGTATCTCATGCATTCCTGATTTATATTTTGATTTTAATTAATTGAAATAATGTGATTCTTGTTAAGAATTAAATGTTTAAATTATTTTTAGTAACGATTTTGAACTATTATTTGTTAATTTTGATTATTTTAATTTAGGAGTAATAACTAATCTAATTTTGAATAATTCGAATTTTTAAAATGATTAATAAAAATCAAGGTTTTCTTATTTACTTTGTTCAGAAGTTTTAAATTAATAATTTATTACATAAAAATTAAGTAATGATATTGCCTGTTCTTTTATTTAAAATAAGCTTACTATTAGATTAAGTCCTTAAAGCATAATAAACAAAGATGATATAATAGTTATTAAAGAAAATGTATTCAAAATTACATATAAAGGAGTAGAATGTACTTAATTTATTTAAAAAATAAAAGGAAAAATTATTTATGATTAAAATCCTTTAAGTCCTATAATTACAATAAATTCGCCAACTTTAATTTCGAATGTGATGAATTATTTATTCAAATTAGTTAATTATAAAATATAGGAAAAAGAATTCCTAAAAGTATAAATTGGATATCAATAGCTTCATCTGAAAGTTAATAATTTATAAATTAATTGAATGCATAATTATAATAATAATAAAATAATTTTATATTAGTTATTCCAAGTATGACTTTTAAAGGAAGTAGCTTTTATCAATTCGAAGTATAAATAGAAACTGTTTTTTAACAAAAGTAAAGTGTAGTTATAAATATAAATACAAAAAATGATAAATTTATTGATTTATAATTAGAAAACAGTAAAGATATTGTTTTTAGGTATGAAGAATTCAAACTTAAAGTTATTTTTTATTATCTATAATGCGATCCTATAGAAAAATTAAAAAAAGTGAATGAAAAAATACTATTAAAAATCGAATAAATTATTAATTTGTAAAATAATTTAAATATAAATTTTGAGAATTAAACTATGGATAATGAACATACAATTAATATATAGCCTTATATCTTAGTTTTAGATTAATAATATGACATAAAAATAACTGTCTCTGATGTTAACAATAGTTAAATATTTTAAGAAATTATACACTCATTTTAGGTAAAAAAAAGCCAACAAATAGTAAAAATTTAAGGTTTGAGCAATATTTAATCTTTTTCGAATTCTTTTTATGTAAATGCTTTCATTGATAATTTAGATTTATCTCCAAGTGAAAAAGAAGTATAAAAAAACAATAACTATGGTATTAAAACTAAATGGAAATGTATAACTGCAAAAAGTTAAAGCGATTGTCGGGATTATAAAAATGATTTAATTGTTGACCCTAATATGGAATAAAATATATTGTAAATAAAAGTATAAGAAAAATCTTTAGAAGCCTATAATCTTTATTATTTTATTTTAGAAGGAGAAAAAGATGGTATCGTAGTTTAAGACATATCAAGTTTTATTATTTTGGAATAAAATATACCTCCTTTAAATTCTATTACATCAATAAACGATTTTTCTTAAAGAATAAATTTAAATTAATAAATTTTTGTATAATTAAATTATGAAGGAAAAAATAATTTAGACAATTTATTTTTTAGTGGCGCTGTATTGTATTAAAACGATGTGAAAAATACTATAAAGTTTTTTCATAATTAAGTAAGATTTTAAACATGGAATTATTTTAATGATTTTTTAAATGAAGAAGAAAATTCTTATTAAATAAGATTTGCAGTTTTTGATCCTTAGTATATAATGCCTTCTTTAATTATTTTTTCTTTAAAAGCTAATTTGCCGCCTTTAAATTGCCTTTTTAAAAATTTTAATAATTAATAATAAGAAATTTTTAGTTTAAAATAAAATTATGTTTTCTAAATTAATAACTGCTAAGATTAAGATTAGCCTCTATATTATAATTTCTTTTATTATAAAAGTTAAGAAGATTTTTAATATGAAATTTTAAATCCGCAATTTACTAAGAGATATGCTCTAAATGTAAAATCTACTATCAGTAGAATATCAACGATTTTGCCGTTCGGGGCAAAAGTAATCATAGGCTGTGTATTTGATAATTTGGGTGCGGTTAGAAATATGACTTAAAATGTTGAAATAAAAAATTCTTATGAAAACGTTTAATAATATGTTTAGTTAGTGCAAGAAACTTACAAAATAATTATTTAAATACCTTTTAAATAACAAATAGTTATTTAACTATGTATTCTTGTTTAAGATATTGTTTCTAATATATTAATAAACGAAGAGCTAAAATAAGATTAAAATTTAATTAAAATTGTCAAAAATATTTACGAAGATTTACTTTTTCAATAATAAAAATTTAATGATAATCAAGATGTTTAAGTCTAAATATAAATGACAATTAACTTAATTCCTTAAAACTTATTAGATTAAATAATGAATATTTTAAAATACAAAGATATATTAGATTATTTATCGAAAATAGAATAAACTTTAATTGAATAAGAAAATATAATAAAAAAAATATAAGCTAAAGACGTTTAGTAATATTAATAATATTTTTCGTCTATATAATTAGTTTTATAATAAGTTTCTAGTATATAAAGTATTCAAAAATAGACAGAGGGAAATTTTCGGATGAGAAAATATTTTTTTAGATAATAATATGTCGGTTTAATCTAACTTTCATCAGAAATTTTAAATCTCAATGTTATTCCTAACGAGTCTTAGATTTCTTAAAAAAATATAGTTAAATCTTAAAAAGTAAGCTTTAAGTTTTTAAAATAAAATTACTTGACTAATTCTTATGAAAATAATGAATAATAATAAAATTAAGATGATTTTAATGATAATGAATAAAATTATGAAAGTTATAGATGGAGAAGGCTAAGAAAAAATTACTTATGATGTATAAATAAGAAAGTATCCTGCTAATATAGTTAAATATGATAAAAGTTTTCCTTATCCAGATAAATAATTATTTTAAGTATTTGATAATTAAATTACTTATTAAGTTGTTAATAATTAAACAAATGAAATATAAAAATAGCCAATTAATACTTAACTTGCTAATACATTCACTCTTCCTAATCCTTCGAATTCTACAACTGGGTTTTCGTGTTTAACTTAAATTAATAATAAATGGGAATAAGGAAACTGTAATAAAGTTTAATAAATAAATAAAAAGAAATTAGTTTCTTCAGTTATATGTTAATGTAAAAAATAGGGAAAATAAACACTAGTGGATGATATAGAAAGCATTTTTACGGATAATCAGAATTTAAAAAATATGTTTAGTGAATAAGGAATTGAAAATTTAAAAAATTTTAGCGAATGGTATAAATATGTAACTGTATGGATTATCTATATATCGAATTAATTCTACATTATATTTTTAGTTTATTTGAGATAAAAAGATAAAGCTGCTATAGCTAAAGAAAAAATTACTGATTAAATAAAACAAAATTATATTAAAAAAAGCTCTTTGCATTTTAATGATTAAGGTATTTTTTTAATATTTTATTATTATTTTTTAATTTACATTTTAAAGTATAAATTTAAAATGAAATTGGATTAGAACTATATTTAAATAATGTTTTAAGTAGGAAATAAAATTGTTCTTAAAAAAGTTATAATAATCTACAGCTTAATTAAAATAATAATTTAGAAGAAAATACAAAAGAAAATAAATAATAAAATCAAGTAATTAAATAAATTTAATATAATATCTAATTTAACTAAAAATAAATTTTAGAATATTAGATAATAGTTATAAATAAAACGTGATTTTATATAAAAAATTAAATATTCTTAAAATAATATTAAAATAGAAAATAAAAATAGATAAAATTAGAATACGCAACAAATTACTAATATAATAGACTAAGTAAAAAATGAATAATTTTCTCCATTAAGTAATAAAATATTTGTTTATAAATTAAATAAAAATAAATAGAAAATTTGCGCACACGTACTTTATTTTCATTAAAAAGAACTTAATCTATAGGAAATTAATAGCCATAATAAGATAATTATAATTCTACAAATTCTGATTTAAAAAATAGTTAACAATTATAGAACATAGGGCAAAGTCCTATGCAATCAATACATTTATTAAAATCTTAATTTTGTAAGTCAAAATAAAAATTAAATTTACATTTAGAACCTTTTTTTATACCTGAAAATTAACAAAAATTATAGGGAAAAAAATAAGAGAATTTGGAAAACATAGTGAATGATTGTAATAAAATAAATTAGAAATCTTAAATACTTTGCTTACAAAAAAAATAAAATAAAGTTTTTGATATAAACTCATTTTAATAAAATTAATATAATAAAAAAAAAAATCAATAAACGATCAAGGGT